AAAAATGATTGCTTACCTTAGGCTACCACTCTGTTCCTGTCCATATTTTAATCAGGGCTGAGAAGTTCTTCTAACAATGCTACATTTTATTTTCAGAGCACTTTTAACCCACAACATGTTTTCACATACAAATCCTCTTTTTGTGTCAGGATCATTCCATTTCACACATTAGAAAACCAAGTCACCTGGGTGGTTAATGAGCCTTCCTAAAGGGAGAGAGAAGAGGGCTAGAAAGGGAAACTGATTCTTCCCTCTCGGCACAGTCCTTCAATTGTAATTGAACAAGCTCCTATATATTCTTGAAAAATTCATCAATGGGACCAAATTGAAATAAGAAAAGCAAAACTGCCACTTCCCATGAAGAAGTGCTACAAAGTGGGCGTTGATTATTAAAAGCCGTTAGACCTAGAATGATGTGAGACCATTTTGATGGGAAGGTGGGGCAAACAGGACACAGGTATTTAATCTCAGCTTGAAAGGCCGTACAAGGACATTTAATCCATTATACAAAGGAAATCTCTGAACCACCTTCAACTGGAAAGTTCTTTGAAATTTCAGTTTCATGCTTTTTTATCTGGAGGCCTGGAGACAGCCTTCTATGAAGAAAGTAAATCCTTTATTCCTAGTGTACCTGTATTCTGTCAATAAGTCACCCTGTGAGTTGTGTTTGTTGGTAAATCTAGGCTATAATTACTGCAATAATATGGGTTTTCAAAAGTACAGTATTCCTTTCTTTTAAAATTAATCTGGAAATAGGAACATTTAAATTAATATTATAATTCTGATACAGCATCAAGAAGTTATATGAGAACATGGAAATGTCATAATTTTTCTTTTGTAATTTTAGCTTAAAGGATTTTAATTGTCAAAGACTACTATATTTCAATGATTACTGTTATCAAAAATGTGTATAAATTCATCTCACCAAATGATTCAAACAAGGATTTCCTCATTAGAAAATAATCTTTTTTCGTCTTTTGTCAATGAATGTTTCTAAGTATGTCTCCTGAGAAAATACCAGTGTTAATACCCAAAACTTTCTTTCAAAATGCCTAACCTTCACAGTTATTTGAAGCCACTAACCTCCTAGGGTTCCCTAATCTTACCTCGCTTCCATCAAAGAACTGTAAAAAACTATCATCTGAGAAGCTACAAAAGTCCGTCTGTTTAATACTGAAGCTAGGCACAGTAAGTTGTCAGTACTAAACTTTTCTCCCTTAAATATGCCTATTTCCCCCTGGAAGAAATATCCATTCCTGTTTGTAAGCTGATTAATGTCTTCTTTATATCATTGTATGAAATCATGTTTCTCTTTCATTTTTACAGTTACTTATTTTAACTGTTTTAACAATAGCTATTATATGTGCCAGCACTATCACCACTTAGCATGCAGAGTTTCTTAAAGTCTTACAACTATATGAGATATACATGACCATTATCCCCATTTTACAGATGAAAGCACTAAGTCTTAAAGGGGTTTAGTAATTGCTGAAGGTCAAACATCTATCAAATGGTGGAACTGGGATTTCAACCCCACACGGTCTGATTCTCGAGCCTGAGTGCTTACCCATCATGCTATATTACCCTTAGAGCTCTAATCAATATTCAGTCAAATTACACCATGTTTTCTTTTGCATTGCAAGGAGGTTATTCAGGTTGAGGACATTTGGTTCATTGCTATTCCTCTCTCCTAATGCATGCACTTTGGTTGCTTTACAGCTGATTTGCCTCTCCACCAACTAACCAGCATAGAAGGTGAGTCTTATCACTTATGATTAGCTTTGACAGTGAGGTGCACACATTGAAGATCTGTTATCATCTTTTAAAAGAAAGTCTTAATTAGGTGATTGATGATTTATGGACTTCTGAGAGCGAACTGTACAAAAAATGACTGAGTGTCATAAATTTCACTCCTTTCCTGAAGCACATTTGATTTGGTTGCATCATCACTTTCTGCATTCTCCCCACTGTAAATACACTGGAAAAGCCCATTACGATTATTTCTATCACTGACTGCAGAGACGCAAGCCATCTTTAATTCTCTTAATTATCTCCTAAACTTCCTTTTTGCTTATTTGTTCTAAAGTTCATCATTACTGGCTGATAGTCACAGGTCTGTTTTTATTGCTTATTGCCCTTGTCAAGTGCGTGAAGCCATGTTCCATTGCTTATTAGTATAGATGTTATTTTTCCGTGCTGCTTAACTACGCTGACCTTGTGTGGCCTTTCTATTTTAAGAGGTAAGTGAGAAGCAGAACCAGAACAGCAAGTCTGCCATGATTGTCTGATTTTTATGCTTTTTCACTGCTCTAATTCTTTGGGTGCCTCGGTCGGAGAAGTGCGCATTATTTCCTAGCACAGCTGACTGAATGAGTTTGTTTAGGAACTACACTCTGATCCCCTCTGCTTTTTGACTGAGAGCTCTCAGGCCCTGGAGAAATAGTTTATAGTCCACTCTTCTCATCTCTCTTAGTGATTACTTTGTGGTTAAGAACAGTGACTGTGAGGGCTTTTGAAATTAGATTGAATAGCTTTCTCTGTTTTGAAGCTGACTTCATCAAGGCACTGGGCAGGTTCAAAATGCAGTAAAGTAAGTGGTGTTTGCTTTCAAATTTCTTTCTGAAATCCCCAGAAGTTTGGGACCTACATTAAATTCTTGGTAGTCTTTTAGAGGTATTTGCTGTACTATCCTCATGAGTCACACCTTATTATCAAAGTTACAGTAGCCGTTAACTAAGACTTGGACCCGAGGGCAGGATTATAGGATTTTTCTGAAGGAAGTGTGAAAATTACGAAGATGGAATTATTTTGTAGAGACGGAGGTGTCAACGTTTATGCTGTGTTACAGGAAGTATGCTGTGTGACAGACTGTCACATCCTAACCCTTGGCATTCTGTGACAAATACGGCTCAAATAATAGAGAAACAAGAAACCTAAAATATCACACTCACTGAACTCCTTGTACATGCCTTGGGGCTCAATGGAATTCAGAAAGGAAGGGTGTTCTTTCCAGTTCCAGCCAGGTGTCTAATTGTGGGAAATGCTGGATTTTAGATACTAACACTTCTTCATCCTTCAGGTGCAAAGACTACATCAAGAACTACAGGTAATGAATGATACATAACAGTATTTTCAAAATGAACAAGATCAAATATCAGTGCCAAATATCCATGTGGAAATATTTTTTTTCTCAGAAACTCCCATCACGAGCTCCCTCAATTGCCTCAAAAGTACAAAAATTATGACTCTAAAGCAATGTTAACTGCATCATGGACCAAGGTATATATATTAGCTCAGTCTGGTAGTCAGTCTATGCTATAAAAGAATGTGCAGAGCAAACAAGTCTCCTATAGTTAACAAAGAATGCATTTATTTTCCTGTTTCAGGCCACTGATAACTTGTGTTAGGAACATGAATGAGAATATGTATGTTTACATATATATATTTACACTATGAAGCTCATATCAGTGTATAATCACATACACATTCCCCTCCAGAGGGGGATGTGTACAGACTTTATTCCAAGTTTTTGGTCTAAAGGGTGTCTTTAAATGTACACAGTTCCAATCTTCAGAAGAAAATTAAAGTGAATTCAAGTCTGTATGGTCTATCCTTTCTTTCTGCCTTTCTTTTCAGGTTAGCAGTTTATTTCTGCATTAATCACCCTGACAGAAGCAAGGCAACTCAATTTTCTGCTTCTGTAGGTAGGCACATCACTTTCTGTACAGCACTAGGCATGAAAAGGGCTGCAGCTAAGCTTTGGTTACTGGTGTAATTGAAATGCTATCCACACTATAGGGTGCATTAAAGTCAGATAACGGCAGTTCCTGTGGCCAATTTAAGTAGCTTGACTTCCCTGAGAAAAAAAAAATTGCCTGACAGATAAGGCAGACAAACTGGCTAATTCTCCAAGCATGTCTCTCATTGTGATCCTAGAAAAATGAGAAAAAAATGAATCACAGAACCACAAAATCAATTGACCCTCGGGTAGCTCATCAGGCAGCGAGCCTGATAAACCTAAAAGCTTTGTTAATGTCTGCCTGCCTGTATCCCACAGATAGAGCACTTTGTAAATGAACCTGCTTTGATAAATATATTAAGGAAAGCTGTGAATAAAGGCAGAGACTTCTCATTTGTAAATACAACCTCTGCTACATGGAATTAGAATGATAAAATGGAGTTCCATGTAATTAAGTTTGTATAAGGCCTGAAATCCGTGCAAATACTTTCCCTGAATTTTGAAAGAGAACTGTCAGTTCAATTAATCTGAACATCACCCCAAGAATGTACTGAACAAAATTAAGCTGCTGATAAATCCTGGGCCAGTATTTTGATAAGTAATTCCTATATCATTTCTTGGCCACTGTGATCATTTTATTTAATCCTCTGCCCCTCCTTTTCCTCAGTTACCCTCTAAGCTGTATACAAAGGGTGGACGGTTCATACGCCACCGCAGGAGTAATCTACCACATCGCAAAAATGGAAAAGCCTTTTCTCCTATTTAAAAAAAATTAGGGTAAATAAATTTCTATTAGGAGATACTAAAAAGCCTGTATCTACATCACCACTCAAAGCCAAGACAAAAGAATCCTTTCCAGAACTGATAACTCTGTATGAGGACTGTGCAAAAACCCACGGTGTGACTATTTTCAACAGGAATGACCTGAGCCGAATTTGTGGTTCAATTCGAGAATTTTAAAGCATCAGAGATGGGAAAAGTGAGATGGAGAGGAAGAGTGATAGAGAAGAGAAAAGAAAAGAGGGAACCAGAAAAGGAAAAGGAACACATCTTACAATAAACCATTTCCCTAGGTTACCTTTTCCTCTCCCTAATCACTCCTTTCACACCTCGAGGTAGAAACACAGAAGTTATCCTCCTCGATTTCATTAGTTTTAGAAACGAAAAAACAAAGAGAGAGAGAGAGAGCAAGAGAGAAGACCATTATTTAGAAATCTCATTTTAGCCATGGGAGAAAGACATTGATTTTTGGGTCACTCACCAGTTGTTTACTTGGAGAATTGTAAGTCCTGTGTCTTGCGCTAACTGTTTCTTCTGCTCTTCGGAAGGGTACGGATGCTAATGGAAAAACAAATGTTTTAAAATATGGATCAGAAGTTAAGAAAGAGTCACTTACTTCTAAGAACAAAACCACCATTGGTGATTTCTTTAGTCTATGGCTTGAATTTCCTACTCGCATTTTTCTTATAATGTGCTGAGAAATGTGGGCAGGGACAAGAACCCAGAAACCTGTATTAGCAGCCCCATGTTCCTGTCACACTCTGTAGGGCCAGCAGTAAAAACAAGGTGTGCCCGTTATTCAATTTCTTTAATCAGTCAGGATGTAAAGCACTTTTGTGACGGTGTCAGAATTTTGGTCATCTACCTCGCTTCTGTTGCGCTAAGGGAACTGGGTTCAGGCCCCTTTTACTCTCCTTCCTAGACAGCCTACATAAAGCCCTTATTCTACATTATCTTTGTGAGATGGCTCAATAGAATCATCCTTCTCTAGTTAATTTGAGATTATGGACAGTAAAAGTTTAGAGAGTGAGGTAGTGTATAATCACAACTATTCTTACAAGCCATGGCAACCAAGTCAATTACAACACAGTTTACTTACAGTATATTTATGTTGACTCCTTTATGGGACAATAGAAGATTCTTTCATTGTTACTGGTTACTGCTCTGAGTTAACAGGGTCACACACATTGATCACACAGCAAAAGGAGCCAGTTATGTGCAATGCTTCATACAGAAATTTTACATTTTACCTCACACCACAACAATAAGAGAATTAAGCCATAGCTTTTGGTGTTTTCTAATCCTTTAGTTCCCACTGAAATTCACCAATATTTATAATAAACAGTTCTCCCATGATCAGCCCACTTTCTGCTCTCATTCTAAAATCAAGGATTGTTAATTTAGGTCCATATCTTTACTTTAAAAGACACTCGACTGTGTATACATAATTATGAAATATGTCTGTTAAGTAGATCCCTGCTCTAAATTCACTGATTTTCTTAAACAAAAAAGTAAACTTTTATCTAGCATGTCAAAGTCGTTGGTAAACTACAAAGGCTTTTGTAATAAATACATCCCATCAACATTATTAAAGGGTGACATTAGGAACAACAAAATATTCCACTCAAAGTATTCTAAGCGTTCCAGTGTTTGAGAGACTGAATGTTTTTCAATCATCTAAGATTTTATTCTTCAGGTATTTCATCTTCTGTAATAGCATACATTATCCAAAATGTGCACAATTACTTATTAGCAAACCCAAATGCCATTAGGTTAAACAAAATCCTCTGCATAGCTAAAGGGGTTAACTAGATTTGTATTAATATAGGAGCCAGGCTTTTAATATTCTGCAAATGTTAACAAAGAAAGATGATAATGTTGAGTTAATATGGGTTAAGCATAAAATGAAAATAAATTTTTCTGATTGCGAGGTGTTGACACTTTTTTGGCTAGGGCCTCCAGCCTGTTCCTGAAAGCTGTGTAATTACAGAAGGCTTTTCCCCTCCTTTCCCCCTCCTGCTTCGAGCCTACCCACATTAGTAATGACCCCTTCACTGCTTCAAAAACCACTAATGGTCTTCAGCACGGGCAAGAAAAATGAACAGGATAAATTGGAATCCACAGTCAGTAATTTGCATCCTATGAGGCTGCTTTGGCCACTCACACTCATTCCTGGCCATCAATCGTTGCCTGTCAGGTGCTGCACTCTGCCACCATGACAAATACTCCTCCTAACACTCTGATTCGTCCAAACAATGTAATTGTCCTCCATTCTCCTTTTGGTAATGGAGATAATGAATGACTGCACAAACAAGAAGGATTGCTCATCACTGACGCCAGTGTGGCTTCAAACTGGAAAAGGCCTGGATACAGATTTTAATGGACTGAAAATACTGGTTGGGGTGGGAGGAGCAGTGGCAAAAAAAAACCTGTAAAAGTCCTTTCTGTTATGGCATTTTCCTGCCAAATTCATGGGACTTGCACCTATTGACTTTTTGCCCCTCTAAGATTTTTAGAGCCTAAGTTTACAGGTTATTTGCCCAACAGAAATATATTTTTGCAAATAGCACAAATTAAAATGAAAGAGTATCTAGATCTGCAGTGGTAATGTCTTCCAGTGTGCTGTTTCTTTATGCAGTATTTTTTATCTTTTTTTGTGTTTAGTCTTGCTCACTGTTCACTGTTGTGATGCATTTGTCCAAGGCAGTTCTGACAAAATGTGGGTTGTAGAGTCTGTCTGTCGGTCTGTCTGTCTCTCTCTCTCTTTCTCTCTGTGTGTGTGTGTTCAATTGTGCATGCGTGTGTTGAAGCCAGACAGAGAAGGTTTAGATGAAATAAAGGTTTAGGATATAAGCAGAAGAGTTGAAATGGGAGATTCCTAGAGAGTCAATTCCTTTTATTGTAAATTTTGTAAATTTTGATGAAATAACAATAATTCTTTCTAGTACTTTATTAAAAATTTAGTCAAATGACCACAGAATTACAAAACAGTTCATTTTATCTTGGGAATCCCTGGGCTGTACTTTAACTATGAAAGGAGTTGCAAATTCCATCCACAATCATTAAAAAAACTGGTACCTTACCAAAATGCACCTTGCACAGATGGTTTTTTTTTTAATTAATAGGGAAGACCATAATAACTTTAACTTATTTAAATAATGGTCTCTGCTTTTTGAACATTCGTGATTCCATGACCCTTTTATACATGGGGTGGACTGTTTATTTGAAAGTGCTCTGGCAATCAGCCACTATATTTCTCAAACTAAAAAGGGGATGGAAAACAATCAGATTTCAGAGGAATTGGAACCACGGCAATGTGTTTTGGATTAATTTACAAATATATGTATATATTTAAGGCCAAACTGTGGAACTAGAGAATTTCTACTACATAGTCTGTCATATGCATTCTTCTGCTTTATTAGAACAGACATCATATTGAAATAATAAACATGGGAAGCCTTCACGTCTTCTTTGATGTTTATTACTAAATGTCTGACTGGCTCAAATTTAAAATAAACTTTGATATGTTTGCATTTGAAAAATGGAAGTAGACCACAAGCAATTTGTTGTCAGTTTCCATGTTCCTGGACTAAAGCTATAGTTTAGTCTGTTCACTGTTGGGGGCCAGCCCACTCTAGTCCAGTGGCCCAGAGGTGGCTCAGCTCACTCATAAGAGCACACATTATGGTAACCCGAGAGCCGTGATTAGGATTCCCTTCATCAAGAAGGAGCCAGCACAGGTTAAACTTCTTCACATCTCGAAAGAATTCTAAAGCCACTGTTGAATAGAAGTCAATCACAAAGATCCTCTTACTTTGAATATCAAGTGACAGCTGTTCAAAAAGCTAAGAAGACATGTATGGCTTATGACTTCATGTAGATAGAAAATGTATTTTAATTACCTTTCTTCTAAGGACTCATTTGAAAGTAGGCTATCTTTCTTCAAGATACTGACCTTAGGCCTTCTCCTTTTTTGTTTTCCTTTTGGGGTTAACTTGGTTTGCCAAGTACATGGAAACAGATCTACAATATCCTTGGAATACATCAGTGGGACTTTTTATGGGTGAACTGCCTAACAGTCAACTTCTTTTGTGATTAACCCCTCTGTGATGATATCCAAATTGAAACTGATTTATCATGAACTTTATTCTGTGTTGAAAGAATTTATATTGATGTTTTGAAATTTTAAGTGATACCGTGAATCACCCCATAAATTAGATATACACAATGAATGAAAAAGGTAGTATTTGGAAGGCCAAAATTTGGAATTAACATAAATGTCTATCAACTGGATGACAATGAAATCAAATGTGAGGTTCTTGTGAAAAGGTTGTCCCCATATATTATTGAGTAAAAAAAGCAAGTTGTAGAACAATGTGTATCATGTTTTTAATGAATGAATAAATAAATAAAATATACATATATCTATGCTTGTAGTGCAAAAAAAACCTGGAAAAATATAGGTCATGTTGTGTAAGGCATCGAGTAGAAATTTTTTATATACTCCTATATTGTCTATTTATGTACGGTTTTAAATAATTTTAAAAATACAATATCAATTTTAAAATTATAATTAATTATAACTAATTTATATACTTCATATTTCTAAAAAACTATAGTCATTTAACTTTTTAATACAATGAGATATTCTCTTGCATAGTGGTAACTCTTTCATGGACATTTTTTGAAGCAAGACATCTCCAAGATTAGTTCTGCATCTTCAGTTACCTTTCTACCCTGTAAGTCTGACTCGCTTGCTAGTCTACAAAGCTGACCAGATGAGCTGTGATAAACAATGCACAATTTGTCAAATTACTTCTGTGAGAATGAAATACAACTATTTAGATAATGTTCAACTAACTTGTTGGGTTGAATCTTGGTTTGAGTAAATGTGTGGGAAGTGATCACTATCATGACCACTTCCTTTTCTTTGCTCCTCTCCAAGACGTATATTTTATAGAGTTAATCCAGATGACCTTTATTTTGATGATGCCACTCCTACATGAAGCCCTCTAAGTAATGTACCTAATGTGGACGATAAAAACGTATTAGGCAGATATCCTTTATTGATCTAGGACTATGCTTACTGAAATAGGGTACAGGCAGACAGGCTAAGGACTTAACCCCTGAATAAATAAATATATCTTCCTGGAATGTCAAATTTATTCATTAGTCCTTAATTTAATACCTTTTTCCTTTTATTTAAATACCTTTTTCTTATGTGAACAAGAATTCCTATGCAATGAATAGAATGTTTATTCTCATAAATTTTGAAGGTAAAACAAGCAACAATTAAGATATTTTAAACCAATCCCATCCTTGTAGTGAAATAAAATCACCTTTCCACTAAATTTCCATGGCAATTTACTTGGTATTTATAATTTTAGTTCTTCATTGTCTTATTTTATTTACATCTCTGTTAAGTATACCTTTGTGAAGGTAAATAAAGGCTTGGGATTTTTAACTTTTACATTTCTCCCCCATTCTTTCTCAGTGTCTCTAAATATTTGTAGAAAGAATGAAAAAGAAAATAGACCTAAGTTCTCATTTAAGCTTTA